CACCTTGAATACTTGGGAATGCTTATGCTGAAAGCTCCCAAGAATCAGAATTCAATCATTCACAATGCTTCAGAAATCCCCCCCAAGTTTGCTCATGCTACATTCTTCTTCTATAAAGAGAAAAATATGAACAACATAAAAACAAACTGAGAGCAAAAAAGAAATGAAAATATGTATTTAAGGAAACATTAAGGAATGTCTTGGAACCAGTATAGATTTAACCCAATTTCCTGAAATCCTACATCTAATTTAAATAGGCTGTGGGCTTTTAGAGCCAAAATGGACATTTTGAGTCCACCATTTTCATTTTGCAGACCAAAGTCAGGGAGGTGCAATGCCTCCGTCAGTGGCTGTCTGTCAGGGGCAGAGTACAGGCTATTGCACTTGAAGCCTTTGACCTTGGACAGACACCAGTTTTGAGCCCATATTCTTAAAGGTTTCCTTCCATAGGCTTTTGGGCCAAACATTCCCCTCACGGCCTCTCAAGTGCATCCCCAGCTTTCACAGCCTTCAGCAAGCAGCCCTTTGCTATTGATGTGGCTCTTTGGTGCCAGCTCTATGAACAAACCACCATCTGTTGCTTTTTAAAAATAAGCCTTTTTAGCTCTGGACAACATTCGGCCTCAGTATCCTGAGCTGAAAAGTTGGTTTCTTTGCAGCTGACAGATGATGGCTTATGTCTTCTCAGAACGGCTGCAGCCCATCTTTGTTGAAAGCCCCAAAGCCTTACTTTGATAGCCCAGTGAGAGCACAGGTTCAGCCTGGAGTTTAAGCGCACAGCACACAAACATCCTCCAAAGCAGGTTTGGCTATGTGGGGAGGTAAGTAGCCAGGATCTCAAGGAAGGAGGAAAATAGAGATGTAACTTAGAGCTGGAAGGAAGGCACAGAGTTGCTTCAAAAGGAAGGGGAAAAAAGGCAGGAATCACGGTATGTAATTTACAGTATCCTGCAAGGATGCCTCTTACACACAGAATGAATGCTGCAGGTCCAGAGGCACTTCTCAAACTCACATGCAAGAAGGGGCAAGATAGCCAATGGTGCCATCACATAGAAAGGAACACTTTTAGTTAAATCCATGTTGACATTCATCCCCTAATTTCTGTACCTTTGCAGTTTAAGAGGACTTCAAATTCTGCCACAGATGATCTCTGAGGGTCGTGATGTCGGTTTCCATATCTGAGACAGGAGACACTGGTAGTGCCCGGGCCAGCTTCATGGGCATGTGGCCTGTGTAGTAACTCAGGACCCTGTGCTCAGAGCCCGCACTGGGTTTAATGCCCTGCTATCACTATCTTGAAATTCGGGATAATTTTTCAACAAGGAGCTATGCGTTTTCATTTTGCACTGGGCCAGTGAATTCTGTAGCTGGTCCTGGTTAGTACCCCATTGTTTAGGTATTTGATTGAATAATATTTTCCGAGAGGGAAATGGGGGCGGTGAGTAACTGGCTTCCATTTTGTTGGGGGCACACAAAGTATGAGGACCAGAGGGGAAAATCAATGGAATTCTTTAATTTCCTTGCAAGATTCCAAAATTCTTAAAGAGATCAGATTAGGAGTAAGATGATTTAACAGGGCGCAGCTGAGGGGCACAGCAGAGGGCAGGGAGGGACTTGTACTCCAGCCTTGTCACTCACATCCCACAAGCACCCAGGCACACTGCGCTCTCCATCCTTCCCGAACACCTTTCCAATCTGGCCACCCCTCCCTTCTCTCTGGACCTGCAAAGCGCCAGCCCAATGCTCAGTCACAGCCTCCAGGCTACCCTCCCCTCCAGACCATCTCCCTGGACCCACTTTGCGGTCTTTGTTTGATCTTTTAAAAAAAATGGCTTTATAAACAACAAGGTTCTGTTGTATAGCACCGGGAACTATATTCAAGAACCTGTAATAAACCATAATGGAAAAGTATATGAAAAAGAAAAGAATTTTTTTAAAGAATATATATATAACTGAGTCATTTTGCTGTACAGCAGTAATTAACACAACACTGTAAATCAACTATACTTCAATAAAACAATTTTTTAAAAATTTAAACGAAAAAAACAGTTTTATGGGGGAATTCCCTGGCGGTCCAGTGGTTAAGATTCTGCGCTTCCACTGCAGGGGACACGGGTTTGATCCTTGGTTAAGGAGCTAAGATCCCACGTGCCGCTCCGTGCAGCCAAACAAAGAAACAAAAAAACACCCCAGCTTTATGGAGATATAATCCACATACCACACAACTCACCCATTTACAGTTCAGTGGGTTTTGGCATATTACATTATTAATTTTTTTGAAGTTGTAACTACAGGACATAAAAATTGCCATTTTAAGTGTACAATTAAGTGGCACTAATTACATCCACAGTGTTACACAGCCATCACCACCATCTATTTCTCAACTCTTGGAAACCTCTAATCTATTTTCTGTTTCTACAAATTTGTGTATTCTAGATATTTCATGTAAGTGGAACTATGCAATATTAATCATTTGCTTATTTCACCTAGCATAATGTTTTTAAAGTGCATCCATGCTGTAGCATGTATCAGAAGTTCATTCCTTTTATGACTGGATAATATTCCACATTTTGTTTATCCATTCATCCATTGATGGACACTTGGGTTGCTTCCACCTTTTGGCTATTATGAATAATGCTGCTATGAGCATGAGTGTACAAATATCTCTTGGAGTCCCTGCTTCCAATTCTTAGGAGTATACTTCCTGGACCCACTGTTGACCCCTCCAGTCCAATTGCATTCAGAAGCCAGAGTCAACTTTCACCAAGACACACCTGATTGCATCACTCATCTGCTTACAACCCTTTGCTGGCTTAAGACGGAAGTGCTCACAAGGGCTTAGGATAAAGATGGAAGTGTTCTGGGGCTTCCCTGGCATTCCAGTGGGTCGGACTCCTCGCTTTCACTGCCAAGGGCCCAGGTTCAATCCCTGGTTGGGGAACTAAAATCCCACAAGCTGTGCAGTGTGGCCAAAAAAAAAAAAAAGATGGAAGCGTTCACCAAGGTCTCTGGGACCCTGAGCTCTGGCAGCTGACCTCTCCACATCACCCTGCCCTGCCCTTTTCCCTCTGCTCCATGTCCTGCATGCATTTCTGGAGCCATGCTTCTTTGGGCTTTCACATATGCTGATCCCTTTTCCTAAGATGTTCATCCTCCCCAAATATTGATACCTAGCTTTTGCTTGGCCAACTCTTCCTGCCTTTCTCACCCATCTTGTCTTAAAAAGGTCCCTAACACCTGCTTCCCTTCCTCCTTTCCTCCCTGGGTCTCGTTCCCATGGCTCCTTGGCATTCCCTTGGCATTACCTGCTCAATGTCTGTCTTCCTCACTGTACCAATGACTAATACTAACTGAGTATTTACTCGTTCCAGGCTTTGTCCTACCCATGTCACCTGTTTCAACTCATTCAATTCTCACAAGTAGCCTGACGCCTTTACAGGTTAGGAGGTCTGGGGATGCCGTCACACTTAGTAGCAGTGTCCACACTGACAACTGGAAACCAGCGCACCCCTACGGGACAGTGGGGGCAGCCACCAGCCCTGAGGGAGCATGGTTCCCTTCCTGTGTTAGGAGCGTCCCCAGCTCCTAGCAGAGGATCCGGTATACGTAGGTACCTAATTCATATCTAAAGTAGATGGATGAATGGAATGGAAAGAACATCAGGGAACTGAGTTTTAAGCAAACGTCTCTTACTGAATGGCCGCTAAGCGCTGGGCATCCTTACCCACCCTCCCTGCCTCAGTTTCCCCAGCCTAGAGCGTGCACAAGAATACTTAGGTCCAAGGGTTATTGAGAAGGTTGAATATTTTAATGTAAACTTTAAAAATCATTGTGCCTGGCAGACTGGGTCCCACTAACAAATATTGATGTTTGCATTTGCCCCTCTCGCCCCTAGCCCAAGACAGGGAGGTAATGGCCGGAATCCGAGTTCTCCTGGCCCTGCCCCTGCCCCTGCCCCTGCCGGAGCACGGTGTGAGGCGCAGTGACATCCAGCTCTCTGGGATCCTCGCGGCCCACCTCTAAGAGGTTCCCCCAGGTAGGCCAGCGAGTCTCGGTTTTCTCCGTCCAGGCCGCCCCGCCGCACCCTACGGCGTGCGCGGTGCAGTTCAGAGCCGGCCGGCGCAGGGCGCCCGGGCCCGCCCTTGGGCCTCATGATCTACATTTCCGCGTCAGGCCCGCCGCGAACTTGGCATGCCCTCCCGCGGTGTTCGGGAACACTTTGTGCCGAGAGCCCGCCCGCCCGGCCCTCCTCCTTCCCGCCGGCGCCGCCTGGCCCGGACGCCCAGCGCAGCCCGCGGGGTTTGGGTTCCTGGACCCCAGGTACCCCACCCGGCGCGCGGCCACGGAGCCCCCAAGTACTTTGTCCTCGGTTCCCCCGAGCCCGAGCCATGCAGCCCGCTCCTCGCCCACGGGCTGGGCGTCCAAACGTAGGTTACACCGCGCGTAATCGAGAGGTTCAGAAAGATGCTGTGGCCCATTTTAAAACAAAGCCCATTTATTGCGTTCGGCGGCTGTTTGTGCCGGTCCAGTGTCAGATCCTCTGAGCGCGGTGGACAACCAGGGCCCAAAGGAAACGTAGTCGCAGCGAAAAGAAACCGGCTCTGGAGCCATCTGATCCGTTTTCAGCACAATGCACATCCCTCTCCCTCCTCTCTCCCCCCAGCCCCGCGATGGTTCCCCTCCTGGCTGTGTAAGCTTTGGCGTCCGGCAATGCTCCGGGTCTCGGTCTTCGCTTCTGTGAAATGGGGATAACTGTGCGTGCTTGGTGATTCTACACGTGGAGCGCGCTGGGTCGCAGAGACGTCAGTGTTGCGGTCCCATACCTCCAGTACCCCATCTTCCCGCGGCCCCCACCCCGGGGCTCCCGGGCTCCAAGCGCGGCTCTGGCTCCCAAGTGCGTCACGGGCACCGGCCGCACTCCACAGGCGGCCAGGGCGAGGCTGGCACGGGGCCAGCGCGGGCCAGGCCAGGGGCGCTGAGCAGTCTCCGGGGCGGGGACCCGGGCGTGGAAGGCGCTAAAGTTGCGCGACCCTCGGCGCGCTGTTGGGGGCGCCCTCCGCGGCGGGCAGCGCGCCAGGGACCGGCCTCCGCAGCTCTGGGCGCGAGAGGCTACACTTTCCCTTCGCCCCCCGCCCTCGTTTCCTCCCGCGCGGCCGCAGCGGAGATTTCCTCTCGGGGAAACCACGCGGACTCTTCCCGGGGCTCCTCGCCCCGCCCCAGTTCTCCGCCCCCTCCTCTTTGCTGGGGAGCCGGTGCTAGCCCGCGGCGGGGAGGAGGCTCTGGCAGCCTGGGCCAGGAGGTGGCAGGGGGCCGCGGAGCCGCTGGCTACCAACTCGCCCTGCCATGTGACGCCGCCCTCCGCCCAGCGACCCCCCGCGCGCCCCGGGCCCGCGCCCGCGCTCTGTCGCGCCGCGCACCATGCTCCTGCCGGGGCACGCGCGCCCACCGCCAGCGCCCCAGCCAGCGCAGCATCCCGGCCTCCGCAGGCAGGCAGAGCCTCCCGGGCAGCTCCTGCGACTCTTCTACTGCACCGTCCTGGTTTGCTCCAAAGAGATCGCAGCGCTCACGGACTTCTCCGGTAAGAAGCGACCTCCCTTCGCTGTGCGCCCCCGGCGCCGCGGGGCGCCCAGGTGAGCCCTCGGTTGGGGGCAGGCGCCCGAGGGGGCAAGGCCGGGTTGTTTTAAAGTTGGAGCGCGCTCAGAGCCAGTTTTCTTGCCTGATAATAGGAGCCCTTAGCATATTCAGTAGCTGCGCATGTTGAGTGGTGGCAGGGGAGCACCCCCCCCCCCCCCCCCCACAGCAGGGCCCCCCCCCCCCGCCCGAGAAGGAAGGGTGGGTAGGGTATTTGGAGTTTTTCCCTCAATGAGTTGACCTCCTCGTCAGTTTCCCAGGGTCAGGGACCCGACCCCGATGGATGCGGGTCGGCTTAAAATACCTTAAACTGAGCCCTGTGCTGTTGGAACACGTGTTGTGGTCCACGTTGCACTTGGTTTGCTCTCCGCATAGTCCGGGTGTGCCCCAGCCAGCCTCTCAGGTGCCCACGTAAGGAATCCAGCCCAGAGGACACTTGACCTGAAGTCTGCGCCGACAGGCACGAGGGAAGCCCAAGGGGATGGGAGGTCTGGTGGAGATGCAGTAAGAAGGTGAGTAGAAGCTTACAGAACAGAGAGGAGACTGAGGGGTAGGACTTGACCGCCAAAAGGCACCAGCGTCCCCCACCTCCATCCCCCATTGCCCGTCACCTGTCGCCTTAACAAAAAAATAACGACTTCCCCCTCCCAGTAAAGGATGAGGCTTTTCTTTGGGGGGATTGCGACCAAGGCTTCCGCAGCTGATCTCAGACAGTTCTGGCGCTGTAGGTGTGGCGCAGCAAAGTGAGAGAAGTTTCTGGGTTGACGAGGGCTATAGGAGCCGCATTCTTACGTTACGGCCGCGCTTGCTTAGAGTAACAACGTCCTTGCAATTGTATCGGACCTGGGTCTCCGTCTGGTGAGGTTGGAGGGAGGCCTTTCACCCTTTCCTCGCCCCTGCCCTGCCCAGGAAGCAGCTCTGAATCCTACTCTTCCCCTTTTCCAGCGTCTTCTGCCAAGTCCAGGCTTCCCGCATCCCTGCCTGAGGGTCTTTTGCGGTGTAATCATGGCAAACAGGAGTCGTTCCTCAGCCCTATTTGTGCAGTAGACTAGTACATGGCAGGGGACACTGGCAAATCAGAAGCTGAGTTGGGTTTCTAGTTTACTTACAGAGAATGTCATTGTTAGCTGAGAGCCCTTGGGTCAGAGTTTCTTTGCTTTGAATATTTAATATCAAGGCAGTGTTTCCACCTAGCAAAGGAAGCCAAGATATGTCTCTTTGGCAAGGAAACTGTGGTCCTTAAAATCCAGCACCACAGGGTCAGAGCGCTATGGTAAATGTGCTGGGAAACTGCTGAATATCAAGTGCTATTGACTTTTTTTTTTTTTGGTAATAGAACTTTCTTGGCTGCTAGAAAAGTTCTCTCTTTGCTGGTTTAAGCTATGGAAAGCAGTTCTGAATTCAGCCACCATCAAGCTCTGAATATTGTTAAGGAAAGAACTGAAAGCCAACAAGCCCTTCTTTTGTGACATCATCGTAACGGAACAAATATTGCTTTAGGTAAATCGCGGTGTAACCATTAGATTATTTTCATAGATTAAAGACACTTAGAGTTTGTTTCTTTAGTGGAGCAGTTGCAATCCTTGAAGCAGTCTATAGGTTACCACCCAAGTTTGGAATTGTCTGTACGGAGCAACTGTTCCAGAGGGTGAACTTGAGCTATCAAACAGGGATGCTCTGCCCTGGGAAATGGATGTTTTCATACATGTTTTTCTAAATGACTAAACAATAAAAGGAATTTTCTCCTGCTTTTGATGGGAACCTAAATTCCAGGGTTTAAAACTCCCTGAGCCAGTGTTGGGTCGGCGGTGATATTTCCAGGTGCATCCACAAGGAGTTCCCATGTTTCCTCTGGTCAGCCTTGCTCTTGTGATGTGAAGACCAGGGAGACAGTGCCCGGGAGCCTTTTGGGAAGAAGAAAAGCAAAATAAGCTTCTCTGAAACCACAGACACGCTCAGGTTTAGATCTAGATTCTATCTTGTGTGGCGTTGGGGAAATATTAGAAAAGGCTCAGGGAGAAAGATGAAGTCTTCAAAGTTGAGTCATTTGATTTGAAACTTAATGAACCTTTAGGGACCCCTAACCATGTGACATACGGCATCGAGGAAAACTCCTAAGCTCCAAAGATGACAGTCTGAGGGTCCAGTTGAATGTTTTCATTGAAGCAGTGGGTCCTGATCACGTGACTCCAACACACACCTCCGCCCCTGCCACCCCCCAACTGTGGCCTCAAAGCCTGATGCCTGCTTTCCTGGGGACAGGAGGTCCTATTCCTGCACTTGGAGGGGTGTGTAGAAACCAGTGCCTGAAAAAAGACAGTGGACCCTCCCTGTCGGAGCCTGACAGCAATAGCTGAGAGCTGGAGAGCAGCATTTGACAATGTAGTTACTTGCTTGTTTTTCTAAACAAGGAAACATCAAGGAGCCAGACAGAGGGAGGGTGGAGGGAACTTGGGACCCCCTTCAACCTTCGTGAAGAAGGGGATGGTGAATCCAGGTGAAAGAAAGTGACAAAATGGAAGGGGTCCCAGCTATTGTCTGTACAGTGTAGGGCCTCCTGGGAGATTAACAGTGCGGAGTTTTGGAAAGTTACTTAAGCCTTTCTCTTCTTTGCAACTCTTCCTTGAGCTTTTTCCTGAGGCTGTCAGCTGGTGTAGTTTTCCTGGGTCATTGATTTTTTTTGGCCCCAGGGATTCCAGCATCGGATCTCACTCTTAATAAGCCAGAGGCTGCATCGGGGCCTGCCTCTCCCCCTCCATGCTCGTGACTTGTGCTAATCACTTCCAAGCCTGCTAGGAAACAGGCTCCCTAAACACCCCCTTCCGTCTCCTCCCTGAAGACGTTGAGATGCTGCCAGCGGCCACTGGAAGGCTATCATCACTGCATTAAAAACACATCCCAGGAAGGCAAGAACAGTTCATGCAAAATTACTGCCTCTGATCCTTAATCCCGAACTCAAATGTGCTTGGCTTTCATCCATTTTCCTCTGGGATGGTCTTCTGGTCTTTTGACTGCATTCCCAAATTGAGGATTTAGCCTGAGAGGTCCAAACTGATCACTGATTTTTTTTTTTTTTTTTAATAGAAAGGTAATGTCAGCATCATCTTTGTTCAAAGAACAAGGCAGGATGAGGGCAGAGGGGAGGGAGGGGTGCCATTTTGGTTCCAGCCATAAAACGCTAAGGACCCTCTACATTTGGTCCTGCTTTAAAGCGTGATGTTTCAGCGCATCCCTGAACTTAGTTTGCCGTGTCCGTCAGGTCTTGTTCATGTTTTTGGTGGTTTTACTCTTTGCTGAGGGCAGGCACAGTCTTCTCCATCTGCTCTTCCCTTTCTCCCTCTTCTGTTTTATTTCGTGTTTTTTCTTTTTTTTCTTTCTTCTCAAAGAAGTTCAAAGTGATGGATGGGCTGATGGGCAGAGAGGGAAGGAAAGGATGGAAAATTCACCAAGTTCCCACTTGGATTCCCAGAAGACTCTTGACTTTTGACAAAGTCGTCATGACCATATGTTTACACGTTTGGTTTTACCCTAGGGCACGTAGTGGTAAATGTGGGAAGCAGAAAGGAAAGGAGGTGAGAAACAAGGGGAGCAAAGCAGCTTTTAAGGCCTTCCTTGTACCCAGATGTCCTCAGACCTCAAAGAAAGGGCACTGCACGAGAGAAGTGGGTCTCTGGGCTGACGTCCTACCTCCCGCCCCCGGGAATCAGTAGGCCAAGCAAACAAGATATGGGGCTTGTTATCAGATCATTTGCAGCCCAGCAAATTAGCCCCATCCTAGCTCCTATTTCATTGGTCAGGAATTTCAGAATGTAGAAAAATGGTCACTCAGTTGATCTTGGGGGCTCGGGGGTGGGAACTTGGTCGTGATGGAGTTGTCCATTTAGCAGAGGTTGAACCTTCCTGTTCTGTTCAGAGAGGCAGTGGGTCTCAACCCTGGCTGCACACTAGAACTGCTTGAGTCTAAACAACTGTATGGATGCTCTAGCGGCAACTCAAGGCTTCTGATTTAATTGATCTGGGAGATCCAGGCATTGGTTTCTTTTTCAAAGCCCCCAGGCAATTCTAGTGCACAGCCAGAGTTGAGAACCATCGCTCTGGTGTCAGAGGGCAGGGCTGCCTCCTATCTTTGTGTCAGTTCATCCACGGGGACACGGGCATGGCGGGGTCTCCCTTCCCCCCCCCCCCCGCACCCCAGGGCTCACCACCAGGGAGGCCAGGATGTATTTTCCCAGCTCTCAGTTTGCCACTGCATCCCAGCACACACGTATGCACACACTTATACATACATGCACGTGTGCCTATGTGCACATGCACAGCTCTTCTTTTTAGTATGCCTTGGTCACATCATCCTTTTATTCAGGATTGTCTTCATTTTCAAAACTTTTATGGAGCGAAAAGCCAGCTCGTAACGAAGGAAAAAAACAAAGCAAATGTCTGCAGGAGGTGTCCAGCTGTCACAGAAAAAGAGGGATGCAGAGTAAGTGTCTCAAAGGGCTAGTCTGTTTCCATGGAAAGTGACAAACGTTTGAAAAGTGTTCTCCCCCAGCTCTTTCTGTAGCCTAGAAGAGGAGTCTGGGTAAGGGAGTGGTCCTGTTATTAATGGCTTTGGTCTCCCAGGCGCTTAATTGGAAAGGGCAGCCTAGTAGCCGTTTCAAGGAAGGAACAGAAAGGAAGGGTGTAAAAATTAATTGAGCACAGGGTTATCTGATTTCATCCTCACAGCAACACTGTGAGGTAAGTAGTAGTCTCACTTTACCCAGCCTCAGAGAGGTTAAGTGACTCGCCCAAGACCTCCTAGCTAGGAAGCAGAGCAGAGGCAGACCCTAACTCCAGCCCAGGAGTAGGGCCAGGCTGCGGGGCTTGGCCCGTGTGGGTGCTGAGTGGGGCACAAGGCCAGAGAAAAAGTGCCACAATTTGCTTAACCTTTCTGTATAGTCCTTGGATTGA